ATATATATATATATATATATGCAAAACAGAACAACTGGACTTTATTCTGCAGCTGAAGATGTTTTGCATCTGTTTTTCTTCCTCAATTCATAACTGGGCCATGTGGAGAAACTGAGAAACTCGTGTAATCTAGATGCAGAATAAATGACACGCCTCTCACAATCAAATGTGAGGTCTTTGTTTGTGTGGTTTAAAGGAGAGATGTTTTCCTCACATCCTGACTTTAGGTGTGAATTAGAGAGAAACTGACTGGGTATCAGGCTCAGTGCTGCATTGTAAGTTTTAGAGAGCTGGGTTAGGTTTGAAACGACGGGATGACAATGCTTTTGTGTTTGTTTTTTTATATTTTGTCTAAAATACAAATTCTCTTTGWTAAATTTCACTGGAAGGCAGATGAAAGCACAAATGTTTGTAGTTACTGTCATGTAGGTGACAAATAAGCCTCACTGTTTGTGATCCTGCAAACAGAGTGGTGTAACAATAAGAGGTAGAACAGCTGCGTCGCACAGATCTCACACTGAACTTCCTCTCGCAGCCGTTGGTTCAGTTTTGTAATAAACCCTGAGGTCTGGACTTCCCCAGCTCTCTGACAGTTTTTAATCTTTTCACGATTCGAGTCCTGGAGGTTTTGACAACYGTGCCACATTCCTGAGAGCTCAGGAGGCCGAAACAGGCCTGAACTCTTGCTTCTCCTCTACRTCAGGCCGTCCTTGTTAAAAACCACGTAGCAATCTGCTGCTGTGGGCGTGTATACAGGAAACAAACACTTTAAATACCTGTTTAATTTCTATTTCTCAGTTCTAAAGGAGAACAAAGACTTTTAGTTGTGAAAGTTGGAGCTTTAAACCTGAGGTCAGCCGGTGAACTTTGTGTTGACAGCAGCTTGTTATTTTATAACGGAGGTGATAAAAACTGAACCTTGTTCTTTGGTGTAACAAGTTACCAAAGCAGGGCTTTTCAACTTGTGGCTCAGCAGCACAAAGCACAAACATGGCTACTATATTTTTAAAAGTACTGGGCTAAAATTTGTTGTGGTCATAACTGAGAGGCATCCTGACAGATCTTGTGAGTAAATGTCCAACATGCAGTCAAAAGCTGAAACCAATTTTTAGAAAACAGGGCAGCTGATGACCGATAAACACTTTTCCCCCCACTCAGTATCCATGTTTCATTAAAAATATATAAATAGCTCAACTTTTACACTTAAATTTAGAGAAGAGCATTTTAAGCTGCATCTTCATTAGTAGTAATTGATTAAAATGGGTCTGATTTCACAACCCTACAGAAAATTGTGCATAAATTCATTTAAGTTTCAACCAAAACTTCAAACTCATAAAAGGATCTTAGTAACATTTTACTATGAAAAGTAGTGAGTGATATGTTTTCCTTAAAGGCATTATGGACCTTTATTTGTTTAAGAACCGTGCTGCTCTGGAATGAAACACATTGGTTTAGGAGTGATAATCCAACATCATCTAATCTTATGTTGACTTTATTAAAGCTGAGAAAATATTAAATTTTTGTGGACATTATTACAACTTGAAGGCCGTTTGTTTTCAACACTGAGGTGTTTTTCAGCCACGACACGAGAAGCTGAGCCGTGGGTTTTGTCACACGCGTGTTAAAACCTCAACGCCACAGGCTGGTTTCTCAGTCGCAGTTCTGCTCGAATGAACACACAAAAAACTAACTGAAGCCCGCTGAGACAAAGAATTTTTTTATTTGACTTTTTTTTCTTCAATCTCTTTTCAAATATTCAAGTACATGGATGTGYAGATCCAGGACACACAATCAGTGGCAAATACTTTCAAAAACCTCCCTTCATCATGTCTGTTTTACTTTTGTTTCCTTTAATCAAAGATATTTTCCGTCAAGCTAAGACACGTAGAACTCTTGTAAACATGATACATCATCAGTCTTTGATTTTGGATTACAAAAAGTAATCTGGTAGAAAAATATCTCTTCTTTCGTAGTTGTTTTTTTTTTCTTATGAATATTTACACAAAGGACCTCACAGTATAATCTGATCTGAAAAAACTGTAACGTTAACACAAACACTTCTCAGGAGGGGTAAAAGGCCTTTGGTTTTTATGAAAAAAGTACCAAAATTACGACAAAATAACCACAAAAATCCATTCACTGTTCTGTGTACAACAGTTATGACTGGATTAGAAACTGTAGCCGATGCTGTGGGACACCAAACATCCACAGAATTCAAAAAGTTCATTCTTCGTAAAATGTTCTGAACAAAACTGCAGCTACAATCAGGCGTCRCTCCTGAGGACAGCGGAGCGACACAACCTCTGCTGGATGAAGTAACACAGAACGATGAGGAGCATCTCCGAGGTGCTGCTCAGGGCCACCAGGAAGGGCGCCTGCGACGCAAAGTCCGCCTCCACCCGTCGGAAGGACAGCTGCATGACGGCGAGGGCCAGCAGGCTGTTCTGGACGCCCACCTCGATGCTCACGGTTTTCCTCTGCGGCGGCGCCAGGCCCGCCACCTTGGCCATGACGGCCCCGACGACGAGGCCCAGCAAAGGCACCGTCGCCCCGACGGCCACGATCTGGGGCTTGACGTTGGCCAGGATGGACGCGCCCATTTGGTAGGCCATGAAGATGCCCCCCACCATGAGTATGAAGCTGAAGGGCCGTATGAGCACCAGCAGGACGCGGGTGAGGGCGGGCAGGCGAAGCTTGATCAGCATCCCCAGCGAGATGGGGATGGCGATGAACAGGAGGGTCCCCAGGATCTTCACAAACGGTACGTGCAGGGCAGCGTGCACCCCCAGCAGCCAACCGTACAGAGCTGAGGACAGAGGCATGGCTGCCGTGGCCACCACTGTGGAGACCAGCGTCATGGAGATGGCCAGGGTAACGTCTCCTCCGAGCAGCAGGCTGTACAGGTAACCGCCTCCACCCCCCGGGGCAGAGCAGGTGATGACCAGGCCCAGAGAGAGTGCTTTGGGCAGTGAGACCATCAAGGACACACAGTAGGCATACAACGGCATCACCAGGAACTGACCCACCACGCCCAGAATCAGTGGTGTGGGGCTCTTCAGCAGCCCCCGCAGCACCTCCACCTCCACTTTGCACCCAAAGGCACACTTGTTGACAAAAATGAGGGGCAGCAAGGCAAACAGGACTGGGTTCTCAGTGAAATGAGACAGGCCCCCCGACCGGATGAGCCGGGTGGCTGGGTCATCTTCACCAGGCGCCACTATGATGGTGTAATCCGTCCTCTCCTCGATCAAAACAGGCACAGAGTCCTGGTCCAGGTCCAGCAGCTGGATCTGCAGGTGAGCCCTGCCTGGGAACCCGGAGCGGATGCTGATGATGAAGCTCGTGGCGGGTCCTGCGTGGCCGCTGTCCGTCACGTTGAGGATGGAGAGGACCTCCGGGTCCTCGGATCGCACCCGTATGGTCTCCTTCCAGCTCTGCCGACCCTTCCTGCCGCCCGCGGAGCTCCGGTACTGGCTGGAGATCACAATCACGCCGTCCGTGTTTTCAGGAAACTCAAATTCCTGAGATGATCCGTCCCCGATCCTGATGTACCTGCTGCTGCTGCTGTTGTTGGTGCTACTGTCCACAGTCAGGTTCCCGGTGGCCCACGCCCGGTTCGCTCCAGGAACCAGAAAAAGACAACAGAATGTAAAAAGCGTCCTCATCGTATTGACGGACAGGGGGGGGGCGCCGCAGAGACACGCTTCACTCCGGCCAGGGCCCTCCTCAGACGGTTACCGCCGCCCTGTCACACCGAGACAGCCAACTTCTCATTCTAGCACCGGGTATGAAAGCTCAGCGTCGTCAGCCGGCTCCTCGTCTCGTCTGGTTCCCATTTTCGTGCTGCCTTCTTTATACCGGAACCTGAACATCACCCCGCCCTGTCGTGTCGGAGCCCAGCTCTGTCAGCGGCAGCCCGGGAATCGAACTCACACAGGTCCTCCCTCTGTGTTTTTTTTTTTCTTACTCGGCGTTAAAATGTCGGTGACAATAAACCGAAATCTTCCCTCGTCTTTTCGTTTGTTTCACTTCCACGGTTAACGAGAACTGACAACATTACCGTAGCTGCGTTGCCGCTGTTTTCTGCTGCTCTAGACGCTTACCGTAAAGCTAGCTTCTGTTCAAATCATGCTTCCGGTCAYGACATGACAAAATAAAAGCCCGTATTGTTAAGGGAAAAACAACCAGGAACATAGCGCGTTTTATGAAAACATTACAATAGAAAAAAAATAATTAAATTAAATATTTTTCATGCTTGGGTCATACAGGCTTATTATTTAGAATGGTGTTATTTCAAATATTTATTATTTTATTATGTATTTGTTTTAGCAGTGAATAAATTTAAGTGAAAACTAATTTATCGAAGTAAAATAAAAAATTCTAGATGTTAAGAAAGTACAAATTACATAGACTAAACATTTTTGTTTAATTTAACTGTAAATGAGGCATTGGCTAGAATRTTTTAAAATATATCAGAGCGTTTTTAAAATATTGAATTTCTGTCAGAAAGAGAAAGAAAGTGCTTCCTGTTTGTTCATTTACTGTTTTGTTGACTTAAATAAAATATAAATTTATTTTATACTGATTAAAGTTACAAATAAAGTCATAATATGTAAATGTAGAGCTGAAACTGAAGTAACTAATAGAAAATATATTCTACATGTTGTTCTGGCTGTAGATGTTGCGTTGAGTACATTTTGAAGACAGCCTTGAAACTCATAATTTATTTTTTAATAAACCCCTTTTATACGTAAAGCCCATTGTTCCTCTGAATGGAAACTACAACAATATTTTGGATGTTTTTTTTTATCTGAAACACGTTTTATGTTTAGATTAAATTAATTTCTTTGCACCTAGTCTGAYGGAGCAACAACTATCGGTGAATTAAATATTCAATTCAATTCAAAAATGTATGCATTTCATTAAAAATACTATATACATTAATAAAAATAAACCAAAAACAAAAAAATATACAATTCAAAATAAATTGTAGTCCTCCCGATCGTTCTCACTTATTTTGAAAATCCCAAACTCCTCCACTTCCTGTCTCTCTCCGGGTAACCATGACTACCTTGACGCAGCTTGTCAATAATCCAATCACAGCGGCTCTCGGAGTCAGCTCAGCCCGTCAGACACGAGCAGGGCCGGTCACATGGCAGAGGGAGCACCAAGGTTTGGATCCACATGGGGGGCAGCCGGGGATTACCCAGGAAAGTCAAACAGAGTATGTGTTTATAAACAAAAAATGACCTTTTTAGGAAATAAACAGAATAAATGTTTTTTTCTGTTCCTCTCAGTTTAAGTATTTACACTTGACTAAATTTCACCCCTAGCCTAATGTCCCATTTATTTTTTTCCATTACTACTTGTAAACATGGAAAATGTGTTGCTCCTATCCGTTACCCTTTTAATCTTCAGTGTCACTCTCGGTTTCTGTTTCCTGACCTTTAATCCCCCTGAGAGTCTTCTGACACTGATCTATTATGTTCCCCAGTTTCCTGTTACAAATCTGCCACCACCCAGGGACGTGTTTATTTGTTGTGTACACTTTGAAAGCCGACACTCATCACAGGACTTAAAGGAAACTCCCTTTTGTCAGCAGAATTCTGCAAGCCTCTATTTATTTATTTATTTTAAAGTAACATGCTCCTGCTGGGATTCACTCAGATTTAAAAGCATTTTTTTTTATTTCATAACATGGAGATTTATTCCAGCTGTGGGGTGGAGGAGGTCACTGCAGGCTTATCTTGCACACTGCAGTAAAATAAAAAATAAAAAAATCCACTCTGGGACGGCTTGTTTGTCATCCATTGTGTTTTCATGAGTTGTGTGTCCTCCTTCTGTCACCACGGTTAAGTCAGCGCTTCCAGAAAAAGAAAGGGGAAAAAAAGACGGGGGAGTCCTCGGCGGAAACTCTCAGTGTACGACAAAGCGTCCTGCTGGTCGTGAACGCTCTGGCCTCGGCGGCGGCGCTGACATTTCAGGGAGGAACAGCCAGCTTGTTGTGGGGGGCTGCCAGCTCTGCTCCACGGGTGGTCTCATTACTTACACATGGAAAGATAATTCAGCTGACATGTTTCACAATCAGGAGAGAGGCTGGAAAAGAAGCGGCTGCCTCTCCTCAGAGCCTTTTTACTAAAACACTGCAAGAACATTTGGCTGCATTTGCAAATGGTGAATTTCCATTAAACCAAATCTGCTCTTTAGAGATCACGAGCTAATCCGAAAGCATCAATCTGAAAAACAATTTGTTCCATTAACYGATGATGTGCAAAGCAAGGCTGCAAGGTTAATCAAAAATTCATTATCTCAACATCAATTTGTGCGACATTAATATCACAAAAGATTGCAGACACGAACCTGCACAGGTCTAAACACATGCAGCCGGTTAAAACAACAGTTGGTGAAATGATAAAACCCACAGTTTTGTRACAAGAAAATAGAGGTGATGAAAATATGAGTTCATCACAGCTGACATTATCACAGGATTCACAAGTATTGTGCAGCATTGGTGCAGAAATAAAATTTCAAGTGACAAAAATTATCTGCAGTTTACAGTTTGAATGCATTAACTGATAACCTGCACTGCTAAAAATTGACTTGTATCTAAACAAGAATGTTTTTAGCCAACTAAATGTTAGTAAAACTGCAACACTTGTTGGATTCGGGGCTAAAATCATCCTTAAGAAAAATAAAATAAAATGATCAACAGTTTGCTTTTGGCACCACTTCCAGCTGCTTTCGCTAACCGAACCAGAGATAATGCAAATCACTCGTCTGCTTTCGACACAAACCGCCCGCGTCAAATGAAAAACCATCATCAGAGAGAAGAATTTTATTTTCACATGATAAATATACAAAACAAAAAGTGCTGAAAAGTTGGCAGAAGATGAGGATAAATAAACCTCCTGGGGTTAAAATGTATGAGAAGCAGAAAACTTTATCCAGAGGCTGAAGTTGCTCAGTCAGGTGGAGGTGGAGCTTCTTCCTGSCTGCTTGTTCCCAACAAACTGCAACTACAGTCAGTGAGGCACCAAACCCAGCAAAGCTCCAAACAGGCAGATAAACTTAAAACCCCAAAAAGCAAAGAAGCAACTCAAGCCCATTCCAACAGAGCTGTATGTTTAACTTGAACCATCATCGTATCTGTACCTCCAGGATCCACACTGATGTGGTTTATACTCCAGAGCAGAGACAGGTAGGGGTGATTCTGTCACTCAGAGAATAAAACATCCAAATATCTGACCGAGACGTCAGCATGGCTTAAATCAAACCCCTAAACCACGAGATCTAGAAATAATAAAAAAACATCCACCTGCGACAGCTAAAGGCAACCGAGCTCGAGGACCAAAGCAACGCGGGCTGGAAAACCTCTAAACTTTCTGTCCTACAGGCACTGGAGGAAGAAACATCTATACAAGCACCCACATCCCAAATAAGGCGTTCAAAGCACAAAGCATGAATACAAGCAAAAAATAATAACCTAAAACAAACAAAGGAAGCAAACATGAGGATTGTCTTCTGTTGTTTACAGACTTCAYGAACAACTGAACCAGATGAGAGAGTTAAACGTTTTAGTGTCACCATTGTCAATCTAAAATGATGTCTACTGTTAAATTTGTCTCCTTCTTTCAAGAATTGTCCAAATCTGTTTTTTTTTTTACTTAAAAACAGACAAAAAAAACACACACACTTAGAAATCACCTTTTACCATGTGAGAACCAAAGACCCCAGATTATCTTATAAACAGTGTGACAGATCAATAAAACCTCTTAAGATCATTTGCAAAATGTTTGTTTTTGTACAACACTCAAAAAGCCTGTGGTTGGAGAGAAGGKATTAAAAAAAGGGAAAACATGAGGTTGAGAGCAACTGAAACAGGAAGGTGAACCCGAGGGACGTTTGTTCCATCTCAGGTGCTATTTCTAGCTGCTGTGTGTGTTTATTTATGGGCCAGTGGGGGTGGGTAATCAATAGACTCATTAAGTCCTTCCAGTAGGAACAGTTCAGTAGAAACACAAATAGTTCCTGTCCAGGCCGAGCTTACAAACTCATTTTCTTCCATGCAGCTGTCAGCAGCTCGTATCTCCTGCAGCGACGGTCAGTTTCGCAGAGCTGCCAGCCTGCAGGAAAAGGACCGAGAGTTTTCATCTGAGGCAAAATACAGCATCTTTCAGGTGAAGCAGAAATACAGCTGACTACAGGAAAATATCTACAGTTATGGACCATARATGGTCTCAGCTGTTGTTTATACATTTTAATCTGTAAACTGATGTTAGATATAGGAAAAAAAAACATTAGAAAATGGAGTAAAAACAAAAGCTTTCTTCAGTCTGTTTCCAGTGAACAACTGTGTTAAACGATTTAGCATTAAAACWTTGTGCTAAATTCAGTTAAACTGGTTATTTCTTTTGCTGAGAAAAAGCAAGTTATAAACCTAACAAATAAAGCAGATGTCCTCGAATGGTTTGTTCGTACCACAAATAAAACATAATTAGTCTAATTTGTTTGTTCACAATAATAAATGCTTTAAAGCCTTTTCCAAATCTTAGTTGGCAAAAAATAAATAAAATAAAAAATACCGGTAACCGTTTCAACGCTCATTGTGAGAAAATAAATACAGTATATCAACTGCTTTTGAATAATAAAATGAAACATTTTTGTCAACAAAATGAATAAAAACACAAAAACAAATAATTTTTAAACATGATAAACTGTGGTTGGTTATATAATAAACACTGACCACATTATTATTAGTTATAATTTAAAATTTAAAAAAAAAATCACACTTAAACCTGAGGTAAAAGGTTTTGCTGAGTTGTGTTTAATTTTCTAAATTTAACATTTCTGAAGATGTTACCAACAAACGGTTATTCTGCCTCTAAAACCCGGAGCGAGCGTCTCTGAACTAACAAGCTGAGTCTGCTCCAGTGTGAAACCAGAACAGATGGTTTGGACCTGGCAGCAGTTCTCACTGCCACAAACCTGCCAATAATGAGACAACAGCAACATCTGTAAGGATTTGAAACATCTGCTTATATYGTGGCTAAAAAGCTCTTTTCTGCTTAAACACCGGGTAAAAATGAAACATATTTTAGTTTACTGTAATGGAAAGGAGCAGCTTGATTTGCATGAGAAATCTGAACCAGTAATTGTTTTAAAAATCATCATAATATTTCTTTATGAACCATTATACTCTAATCTGTAATTACTGTTGAAGGGAGTTTCTGTTTAATTATGCATTTATTTGACTAGTTTTTAACTTTTATCAAACAAGAACCACTTTTAGACAACATGAAAGACTTCAAACAGAAAACATCTTAGTTTTCTGGTTCAGTTTGTTTGGTGAAGTTCATTCCTTTGTTCAACCAGAAACTTCGGCACGTTAGAAATAAAAACAAGCTTCTTACCGTCGGGACAACTGGTCCTCCTTCTCCTGGTTCCGTGAGCTCTCYCCACTCAGTGTGGTAGCTCCAGCAGGCAGCTGGTCCAGCTGGTCCATCACCTCCAGGCCGTTCTGTTCTGCTATCTGGTGGATCAGGTCATCCACCTGCTCCTGAGGTGTGGTCAGAGTCATGGCTGAGCTCATGGAGTCCTCCATCACCTGGGTGAGGCGGAGAAACGGGACAGTAATGGGTTTTGGGTTTGGAGGTTTTGAAGCGTCAGAGCTGTACGAGGTCTGCTGTGAAACGGAAAGACTGTAGAAACTCACAGAGGTGTGGACGTCAAGGTTCTGAACTTGGCTTTCAAATTTATCCATGACTGCAGAGACCTTCTGCAGATCCATGGAGCTCAAGGCTTTGTCCAGGGCCTTGGTCACCTGGCCCATGCTTTTAGTCACCTGATATAAATAAAACGAGACAGGTTTGTGATGCATTCGTCTTACACAGACTCTTTAAAATAAAACTAATTCATCTTCTCCACTGTAAAACTGTATATTATGTTCTGCTGAGCTAAGCGAACAGAGGAACTTACTCCTTTCATGGTAACGGCGGTCTGAACTTTAGAGGCCACCGCATCGACTCGTGACGCCATGCGCAGCCAATTAAGACCTTCATTCTTTTTCCGGATGGAGTTCTCTGCGTAAACTCTGGCAACATCTACATTTTTCTGTTGCAAAGCCTGTTGATGAGACGAAAAAAAAAAATCAGTTCAGACTCTTCTCCTGTAAAATAACGCCACTTATGTAAAACTGTTGCACATCACACCAACAATATTAATGAGCCATAAAATGTTTGATAATGTAATAATTAATTATTTACGTTTTTAATGGACATTACTTTATCTTTATATGTCCTCCGTATCCATAATGAGTTAAAATAAGATACATATAACTTATTTATGTGACTTGTGGGACCTGCGTTTGAGGAGTAAAACAATGAGTCAGACCTGTCATAACTTCATCATGGGAGAAGTCACCTGATTTTCATTTCTGCCATCTTCAACCCAAAGCAGCATTTATGTTGTTAGGAGAGCTGACTAATACTCAGCCGCTCTAAAAATAGTTAGCCACTGAGCCAACGGACGAATTCCAGCCAAGCCTCTTCTGGATCAGTGATAAAGCTGTGCTGCCACCTGCTGACTCATACGTGCCACTCCCACATATATACTCCCATGTCACATGATCACATATCAATATAATTTTACTGAAGTATCATTGCTTGATGTTTTACAAGTCATGATAAATTGTTTTATTCATAAAGGAATATCATGTCTCCTTGTTCTAATGTGTGATATTACCATCAGTTTATCCTCACAAAAACAAAAAACAATTAGATGCACTGGAGCGATCGTTAGCATAATGCATGGATTGTAATATTTTGAGAAAAAATTCACACTTCTGCTTCGACTATCAGTGCTGTGCAAATTATCAGGTCACTTAAAGGCTTGTTGCGGTCTGATAAAACAAACAAATCAATATCAACCACTTTCTCTTCAGGAACTACCTGAGTTTCCAAGCTTCTAATAACTCTCTTCAGGAAAAAAAAAATATTGCTGGACTACAGCCAGAAGAGGAGAAGCAGCACAAGCAGAAAGGAAAGCAACCACTTAGTGGAAAATATTTACAGGCACTCAAACAACCCCACCCAAATATTACCATCAGATTCGGCATTACAGCCACAGAGACAGCATAGCACTGTATTCAATTTTCAAACAAAGAAAAACAGSYGCCAGTTTTTATTTACTTTATCTAATCCTTTAAACAACTGGAAAACTATCCAAACCGTACTGTATGTCTCCCCTAATGAAGGATAAACAGACTGCTTGAGGTTTTACTTTGATGATAAAACATGAGGGCTACTGGATAGATCGTTTCAAACAGAGCATTAAAAAACTACAGTTTACAGATGTGTTGTACACTTTTCAAATCTACAATGATTTTATTTACATGACACCTGTATGAAGCAGATGACAGCAGAAGCACAAACAGAGAATTACAACAGAAGAGCAGTTACAACATGATGGGTAAACAATAAAGACAGCAAAATACAGATCTGAATATATATTCAACCATCACTGAGTGCTTAAAGTTTGGTCTAAGCTGTCGCTCACCTTCTTAACCTTGGCCTGCTCCTTTTCTGACTCCTTCTCTGCCTTCTTAGCCAGTCTCTCAAGTTGTTTAGATGTAAACTGTGAACCATGAATTTAAATGTGAAAACATTTATGACAGATTGACTTTCAGTTMAATTGATGTGGATTAAGCATAATCCTGAGACATACCTTAAGCTGGAAGAGCGTATCTGTGGAAGAATCAGCGCAGGAGTTAGAAAAGTGGTGTGTTTGTTATGTAGACAATAACAGATTTAATCTATATGCATTTTTTTTACCAGGAAATAACTGTTCCGCAAATGTATCCAATAAGAATAAATCTTATTGAAAAACTGGCAGGAAAAGTGTGGCAACACATTAAACCTTTCCTTTTTGTTACAAATCCTGCATCAGTGACTGTTCAAAACAAAAACTAAATTAAACGGCTTCAGCAAAAGCTTCAGTGAAAAACGTGTCCATTTTAAAACTATTTATTTTCTACTTTACATTTTAATGAATAATGTTTACTTCATGAGGTCTAGCTGTGACTATATTTTAATGTCTAGTCTATCTTTAGAATAAAGTTTGGTGGGAAAGTAAAGACCAGTCAGAACAAAGTTCGTAAAAAATAGTAATAAATAAATACTTTATTTTTTAGGAAATAAAAACAGTACGAAATTTTTTGAATATATTTTTATTTTATTATAAGTGACGCTAAAAGATATTGTCTCTAACATATATTGTAATTATTTTATTTTGCTCTGGGAAATACTTCAGGAAGTGTCTGAATAAAATATTAAGCAACGGACATACTTTGATAGCAAATTAATGTTTCCAGAAATAGACTGGACCATCGTCAGATAGCGTAACGGTAATACCCAAAATCAAGCCAAAGTACATTTTAACAATCAATCTGAAAACCCCATATGTATATTAAAAAAAAAAGACCAAATTGAAAACTACAGGAGGTTTGACATTTACAGCTAGCCCGACTAAGCTAACACCCAAGCTAAATGCGCTAATGCTAATTACCATGGCTAATACAACTAAAAAAAACAAGACAGATTTTATTATTTAGTTGTCAAAAAGACATACCCTCCATGTCGGCGCTGATATGGTGCCTGTCAGTCACGGAGAATGTGTTTTCCGGCTTTTCAAGCTAGTCTGAAATTTGTTTTGGTTTTTACGTATTTCTTCCTGGTTTAACAGGTATCACGTGACCAGAAATCGCCCTTTTTCCCCCGTGCCGCAAATTGCAGTTGATGTCTCTGCTGYCCCCTACCGTCTCCCGTCAAACACTGCAAATAAATAAATAGATCTTGTTTGGTAAGTCTGGTTATCATCTTCACAAAAAGCAKAGCTTTCCGATCGATTAAGTTAACAGAATTACCAACATAAAACATCCTTAAAGTATTCATTTTATTATGAAAGTACAACTGAGTGTGAAATTACTTTATTTGTCCACTAGACGGCGACGTTGCGATGAGAAACTAACGTTTTATTTTCGATTTCATTTGTTTAATTACATATGGTTGGATATAGACAATAAAAACACATGTAACAGATGAGGAGGACATGAGGAAGATAAGATAACTCAAAGAATGATATTTACATTTATATCCCGAATTCAATCCACTTTTGTCTAAAACATCCTTTAAGTATTAATTTGTTTTAAAAGTACTTTCCGGAAACGTTAGCATATCATTTATTAAYGTTTGACAAACGAGTGTGCAGTTTTGTTAATCTGTCCACTAGAGGGAGACTGTGGAATTATTCAGCTTCAAACAACCTTCAAACTTTTTGATCTCATTTTTAAAAAATAACCATAGTTGTAAAATCACATGTGGTCAAACCTTATCCGATCATTTTTTTAATATTAATTTTATTTTGAAAGTATCCTCCGGAAATGTTATGAAGGTAATTATAATCTGTCTGTATTTAAAAAAAACAACTAATAATAATGTACCTGCTTATCACGGCGTAAATATAAAGGGTGTTTTCTTTTAAAATTGATCTCATATAAACAAGACGCGTTGTTTATTTGTTTGTTTGGGAGTAAAATCAGTCAGTGGATTTTTTTTTTTTTTTTACCGCTATAAGTGGATGATAATTTGTAATTATCATCACAAACAATATCTTTGTTCGTCAAGATATTAGGCAGCAGAAAAGGAAGAAAGAAAATACAAGAAGTCAAGTTCAACAAGCTTTAAAAACGATTGTTGATCAAAAAGACGGAATTTCTAAAGAAAAGGACGAGAACATCTTTGTGTGCCAAGAAAAACTGCAGAAAAAACAGAAAAGGTGAAATTTACTGTAAAAAAACTGTTTCATTTAATTGTAATAAAAATAAACTTTGTGGATAGCTGCTGAAAATATGAACTAGTTGTTGTTTAGCTAATTAGCTTGTTAGCTAAACAATGAGCTTCTTGCTAGATTAGCCTGTTAGCTAACTGTGCAGTAACTGAAACAAACTGGGAAAAAAATGCATAGAAGAAATAGAAAATTGAACACAAAAAAAATGTCACTAAAAGTTTTGAGTTACAGATGAATAAAGAGTTAAAAACATGAAGTAATTGTTCAGTATCATTGTTTATTTTCACCTAAATTAAGTATTTTCCTTTTTAGGTTTAAAAAAAGCCTTAAAGTTTATACCTTTCATCTAAAAGCTCTCATTATTTTTTACACTTTAAGGTGTATTTATCTTGAAGAGAAGACAAAAAATAAAGAAAACCCACCTAATATTCCTCTCACATTAAGATTTAATGTGTCTTTAGCATCTGTTGCTCTTGGATCAAATGACCCATGAGGCTTCAGTTCCTAAACAATTTTCCAAAGCAGGGGGCTTAAAATTTATACAAATAAATGGGTGACTGGATACCAACCTCATGGTCACATCCTCTTCATTCCATACTTTAAGTCAGTGGTTTTCAAACTTTTTATCTTCTGACCCACAAAATATCCATGGCAAAAACTTGTGACCCCAAATATTACTGGTCTGAGTACATGAACTTCGTTAATAACCCTAAAAACACAAGCCTTTTGACAATCTAAGCAGCTTGTACACAAATATAAATACTTATTTATAC